ATAGCCACATGTTGGTGTCAGAACATGAGTGTAGCGATGAGTGACACTAATCGAATATTTATATGGGGCTATTGTGTGGATAAGGATATTAATGTCCCAACCCTTACTTCTTTAAGATGTTTACAAGATTCTTTCGCATTTTACAGCAGTGAAATATACTGTCATTTGTTAATTGTCAATGATGAAAAAGAAACGAATGTAATGGATAGCATGGAAGAAGCTTTCGATGATGCAGTACGTAATTATTGGAAGATATTAAGATTATTAAGCATTTACTGTTTTTTGCATGATCCTGCTATACAATTTGCAGAGTACCAGCGATTTAATTATTCAAGTACATGGGAAACCAATTCACGTACACAAAGTGGTACTGAAAATACGGTCTCATTATTTTAGGACCATGTTTCAAGAGCACTGGACGGAAAACAGTCAAAGGTAAGTTTTCTCGAAACGACCATATGGTATAATAAATACAATTTTGACGTTTTTTTCCCAGTGTTATAAAGCACGAACAATATTCCTACGACGTGTACAAAAGTTTTTTAAAATATTTGTACACTAACGAAGTCGCGGACCTACCTCAAGAAGATGCATTAGGTATAACATGCCTAATTCTTACGGACATTGGTCAATATGTTTCGTGAATACTATTCTTTTCTTGACAGAACTTTCAATCCTAGCTGAGGCCTATTCCGAGGATCTATTAAAAAGACGATGTCTGCAGATGATAAGAAATAAGATTACAGTAGAAAATGTACTATTGTTTTATGATGCAAGTATGAAACACAATTTCAAGGTAAATATGCAACGAGTACTTGCTGTACGTCCTTCACATGTATTGCCCACTTATTTTCTCTAGGAGTTAGAAGAGTACTGCTTTAAATTTGCAACATACCATTTAACCGATGTGGCACAAACAGCAAGTTTTGCCGAACTAAATGAAAGCTGTATAAAAACTTTCATCACTGAAGCTGCCAAAGCGGGCATTTTTAATGTAGAATGATTACGTAGGTTTCATGTAAGATTATTAAAACGTTCGTTAAAATATTTGCTTCAGCTTCTCTAGCTAAACTATTTCTCAAATAATATGCGATTGGGGTCTTGAAATACCCATTGAAACATACAAGCATTATTACTAATGCATAAGTTGCTTTGTCAGATTTTTCGTTGTTCAATCCTAAGTCTACATATCCATGATACCGCTTTCCGTCCCATTCGATATCTTTTTTCAATGACATTTCATCCACTTGGATTCTAAATTGTAATTTTATATCCTTAGCAGCATTTTCTTGAATCATGCTTCTTAAATTATTTATAACTGGTAGACTTACGCCAGGACTGAGATCGATTTTGG